TGGAACTCTCATATTCCTCACCCATTGTCGCTCTTTCCATGTTCTTTTCTGCACCCAGCATGTACCTTTCATTTTTCTGTCTGTGCTCCTCTGCATTAAAGTCTGTATTCCCTTATTCCTAACACCTTCTTTGCCTTCTCTACACTTTTCAGCATGAGTCCACATCACGTGTAACCTCCAACATGTTACTAACTTTTCTGCTACATCTGTCATTGCATCTCACCTATGATCTGACCCAAAAGGCTAATTCCTTGACTGACATTGATGATATTGATAATAACCAACACCATTGTCCTTTTTGTTGATTCAATTGCACAGACAAGAAACAGATGCCACAACAACAATGAAAAGGAGTAGTGGTTCTCCGTGATGTGAAGATTTACACAAGTCAGAAGCCAATGGTTTGGGTGAATAATGGGCGTAAATAATTAATAAAAGCCGTTTTATGCTCACAATGGGTTTGCATTTATATTATATAATAATCTTGCATCACAAGAAACATTTACAATTAAAATCGCACAAACAAGTGGATGTAAATTATTTGGAACAACTGCCTATTTGCTGACATCATATTTAGCTTCCCAGGCTACCCCAAAGGTAAATACCAGTTTTGAAATATTGCCTCCATTTTGAAAGTATAAAGGCAACAAGACTAAGTATAAAATTAGTCTAACTTTATGACTTACTGGTAATGATTAACACAAGATCAATATGTAGAGCAACAAAGCATTTCCAATAACACATACACACAACATAAATAGTATTACAATCCCCTGAGAGATCAATAGCATTAAAAAAGAAACAAACTACCAACTGAAATGATAGGACAAAATGTCACATTTCAAGATTTTTACTGCAACACACAGCAAATACTATTGTGCAGGCAACTTGTATCACAGAAGAGATCATTTACTTTTAACATAACCAAAAAAATCTACTTTACATCTTCATACAGTCCCTTAAGCCAACAATCAATTCTCCCAGTGTGAAGTCATTCTTCACTGTTTCTTTCCTTTCCCAGCCTGATCATTTTTAGTCCCAGAACAATGTAACACGGTGATTTTTTTTTAAAAACCTTATGTATGCTAGGTAACTGCTCCAGCCTAGTTTCAAATCCTCAAGCATTTGGTCTTTTCAATCCAAATGCAAGCTCCCAATCACATTTCCGTGCAGTGAACCAGAGACTCTTAGCTTCTAGCTGCACCCCCTCTCTCTCAGATCCTGGCATACAGCCAGTGTCTGAGAATTTCAGGAATATCTTAGAAACCTTTACACTCTCAAAGCCTATCACTATATCAAAATTCATAACATGGGTCTTGTGCCAAAGTAAAAATGCTGATTTTCCAACCTCAAGACTACAACCATGCAAGCTGTTCATTTACCCCCAAGCTAAATGCATAATTGTTTATAAACCAACATTTTTAACACCATCTTAGGATTTTGAAGGCTAGCAGTTGAACCATTGTAAAGACTGATGATGCAGTCTTTATCTCTGTGTGAATATCTTGAACCTTCTCTCCTAATGTACATTCCTGATGTATAATCTTGTAAATTTCATTACTGCAACAACAGAGGCCACAAAATAAAAATTCAAATGTATACCCACCCAAAATTCCTCCCGAAGTGGTTTAATGTTACTTAGAAGAACTTCTTCATAGTTCCCATAGTCTCTGAACACAACAACTGCTGTTGCTCCTGAAGGATGAAGGGCCTGAATGACCGCCCGATAAAACTGCAAATTGAATTCAACAAAATTAGGAAAAACCTAGCTGCATGGGTAATAAAATTATAGCTGCATGCCTCAAATGAAATTTAGACCAAATCACGCCAGTCAATAACAGGACATTTCAACTCTATGGAACTGTCAGGTCATTACAATCAAAGCATTTTTAAAATCCATAAATATATGAAGAACTGCAATTCAAAATCCAGTACCATTGGACTTTTAGATCAGAGATAGTAGGATTTTTTTTTTATTAAGTTCTAAAATTTAACAGAAAAGACAAAAGAAAAAAAAGAAAATTTTCATTCATACACTGTTGCATGATGCACAACTAAAAAAATGGTTTATTTCAGGGGGTTAACTTTATTATTTATCTTTTACAAGAATAAAGTACTTCAAATAAGAATTTATGCATCAACATAAAGGATCAGTTTAAGAGACTAAACACTCAAAATGACAAAAATCAAAATACACCAAGGAGCTTTACAATTTGAGCTTGTGTGAATATGGAGAAAAGGAATACTGAATACAGTTCCAGTATAGATCTAACAAGATACTTCAGAGCATGCAATCTTTAAAGCCCCTTTAATATTTGTTGTTGGATCTGCTGCTCAACAATGATTTTTAGTAGGTGCAGGATCACAAGTATCACAAGTATCCTTGTCCTGTAATACCCAATTGTTATTGCGATAAATTAAGGAAAAAGTGCTTGAGACTTTCAACAAGAATACGGGAAAAAGGTGCACATAGGAAAATGCACTTATTTTGCTCAATGAGGGGTTGATGAGAGATCAGACGACTGAAGCCGGGGGCAAAGAGATTGCCCTATCACTCATTTTTCTGTGCATCTGTTCAGGAGAACACTAGCTTTAAGACATGCTTCTCCTAGTAAGGGGACAGAATATAAATTTGAGAGTGACCATTCAGGACAGGTTCCCAAAGGTGATGGCATTGTAGGTCTTTCATTTGAAGGGTAAACAGTATCTTCAAAGTTATTTTATCGATGGAAAATGTTTGGCAGTTTCACTTTTAAGTTGGATGAGACTATCAGCTTCAATGCACTTTGCCACCCTAAAGGAGATGGTGGCAGTAATATAGTTCATACATCATTGAAGAACCAAGGATATATTTCCACGGTTTTTGCAGAACGTGTAAATGATCACACGATGATGATTCTACAAAGTTAACAATGTTAAGGTTGTACATCTTTATTGTATTAGTGGCATAGCATCACATCAGAAGCAGGAGTAGAACAGAGTGAGTAAGAGATGGAAGTTCTTCATAGATACATAGAAAACGTACGAGAGAGGAGTTGGTCATTCAATCCATCCCATCTGTACTTTTAAAAAAAATTCGTTATCCAAGTTCATCCGGCTTTCTACCACTTTGCCCATAGTTCTGCAAACCCAAGGGTTATTAAATAGAATGAGGGGTTCTTGCCTCACAGCCTTTCAGGCAGGGAGCTCCAGACCTCCATCTGGGTGAAAAAAAACACTTCAGGTATTTATATTCCTCACTGCTGAGGAAAACAGGTCCTTTATGTCCTTATGATGTAGACTCTTCAATTTCACACACCTCACTAAAATCATCCCTCAGCCTACTTTTAGCTGCAGCTTAGTTGATAGCACATTTGCCTCAGTCAAAAAGTTGAGGTTTCAACTTCAGGATTTGAGCATAAAAATCAAAGTGTGGGACTGGGAGACGACATTGTCAGAATTGTCGTCTTTGAGGTTAAAACCATCTATCTTCTTGTGAGCATAAAATAACCTATAGGACTATTTCAGAAAAAAGTGCAGGAGGAAATCTTTGGTACACTGATCAATACTTTTCCTTCAATTAATATTACAAAAACAAATTTGGATTACTAGCATATTGCAGTTTGCAGGTATTTTCTGTGTGCAAATTCACGATCACATTTACTACATCACGTGCTTATTGGCTGTAAACTACTCTGGAATGACCAATGGTGGTCAGTCACTCGGAGATAACACTAGCTGCTAAGGGTGTAAACCCAAAACATCGTCTTTTCAGTACTTCACAGTAAACAGAGGTTATAAAGGTTGTCGCTTACAGCTAAACTTCCTCATTCTGGCAACATTCTCAAAAATCTATACAATATTCTATCTTGTAAAATAGATCTTTCGAGCAATGCACTGTCCAAAACTCCAGCTGCAGTCTCACTTACATTTTATATGTTTCTAACATCTTCTCCATGCCCCTGTATTCTATGCTAGGACTTCCTAAATGATGGTTCGTAATCCTTAGTGGGGGCCACAACGAGGTTTAAGGGTACTGAACGCCGATGAAGCAATGGTTTTCTGGACCTCAGACAGATTTCAGACAGCTGTGATGCTCTGATTAATCTCCCCTTTTTTTGTTAGTGTTTGTGGCTAATGGATTCCAGTGCTGCGGCAAAAATGTCTGTAAAGACATTGGTGGTTTTTGTTTGGAGGAAGCAGCCTGCCTTTTCATCACTGAAGTTGATGACTTAACATGATGTTTTCTATCCACTTCAAAGTTCAACTGTATCCCTTTGGTTCATAAGAACATCAAGAAGCCCTTTCATCAACGTAAACAAAATTACAACACATGGGATTGCACCATATTGACATGGAGTGAGAACTGGTTAATAGACAGAAAACAGAATAGTTCATTTGCAGGTTTGTAGCCTGTTAGTAGTAAGCTCACAACAAGGATCAGTGCTTTTTGCCTCAGCCACTCACAAAACATTCCAGTGATGTGGGTATGGAAATCATATGTAACATTTCCTAGTTTGCAGATGTCAAGAATTTTGTGTGGCAAGGAGAGTCAGAAGGATGACGCAAGGACACTTCAAAATTAGCAGATGGAATACAATTCAGAGGAGTGAGAGGTGGTCTACTTTGGTAGAAGACACATAAATACAGAGTATTTCTTAAATGGCAAGAGGCCGACAAGTGTTGAACTTGAAAGGGATTTGAATATTCTCAAAGGTCACAAAGTTAAAGTGCAGATACAGCAAGCAATTAAGGTGGCAAACTGTATATAAGACTTTATTACAAGAGGATTCGAGCACAGGAGTAAAGATTATAGTTTATAATTGTATAGAGCCTTGGTGAAGTCACAGCTGGCGTGTTACGTGCAGTTCTGCTTTCCTTACTTACACAAGGCATATACTTGTCCTTGAGGGAATGCAACACATGTTCACTAAACTAATTCCTGGGATGACAAGACTGTCCTACGACGAAAGATTAGGTAGACTTTTCCTATATTTTGTTTTAATTAGAGGTGATCTCAATCAAACAAAATTCTTACAGGGTAAAAATCAAAAAAGGGTAGAAGAAGAAATTATGTTTTCCCTGACTTTGTAGTGGGGTGCAAGATCAAGGGAACAGAGTCTCAGATGAATGAGCAGGTCAGTTAGAACTAAGAGGAAGTGGCATTTCTTTACACATAGGGTTGTGAATCTTTATAGCTGTGGAGGCTCAAGTGTTGTGTGTGTTAAAGACAATAACAGACAGGTTTCTACATATCACGAAACATTATTGGATATGAGCCAGTATAAAATATTTAAGTAGATTTGCCATTACATATAGTTGGAGAACATCTTAAATGGGCTGAATGGCCTACACCTGCTCCCATTTCTTCTGTTCTTATGAACCAAAGGGATACAGTCAAACTACAACCTGGATAGAAAATATCATATTAAGTCATCAACTACAGAATGGATAAATCTGACAGGGAATTAGCCAGCTATAAAAAAAATACAAAAAAATTGAAAAAAAAACAAAACAAAAAAAGGAACTACTGCTTTCAACTACTGCTTGTTGGAAACGTTGACAATAATTGGTGCATTAGACTTTCACTGTAGCACATTCATTTGCATTGTATTCTGACATAGGAAGGAAGACTTCAGTAATTTGCATTTTAGGTCCTGATTGAGGACTGAGATAGTTTCATCCTGTTGTTAATGGATATGAGACCAAAGCAGAAATGTCCCAATGATTTGTCACCACTTTGTCTTTCAAGCGCTATGATAGAACAATAAAAAGTCTAACAATACAATATAACGTGTTTTCCTCAGGCACACCGATGGGGCAAAATAAAGAAACTTTTACCTTGCAGTGAATGGTGTTACATCTGACTTGGAAACACTCAATACTGACATTCAGCACCTAAAATGGTTTGTTTCCATTTCCCGTTGCCCTTGAAATTTACAGCAATTATGTCAAGTCCAAGATAACCAATCTTACCTTGTTATCTTCCCAATAAAGAGCTAAGCACTGATCCCCTGGTCTCCAATCACTAAACTGTGATTTATTTGACACTGCTGAAGAAGGGTAATCAGTCTCATACGGTTTTTCCCACGTTCTTTCTGGTTTAATTGGTCCGGTTCTTTTCTTTGATCCGGAATCATAAATCCCATTATTGCTCTGAGAATATTCAGTAAACTTTGACTGGCTAGGCTCTGTTAATTTTATAGGTCCTGTTCTTTTCCTCAGAAAGGAATCTTCTAATTGTCCATTAGATATGTTACATGCATCAACAATTCGTGTAGAGGTGGTGTCAACGTGCAAATTCAAGTCTCTTGAGGTTTTCACATTTCCAGAGATCCCACTACCAATTACTTGAGATAGTTCGATACCTTTCCGGTCATTGAAAGTACTATAATTATGCCTCTGGTTTTCAAATTTTCCTCGCTGCTGACCACTGTTATCCAATTGTTCTTTTTTACTCTGGCTACCTTTAAATTCCAGCGAACCTAGACCATCTCCTAGTTTATTTATTTGGCTTTCTCCTTTAGTCTTTCTAGCCGACTCATTAACCAAGTGAAAAATTTGTTGCTCATAGTCTCTTAGCCTTTCACTACCAGGGTAATGCTTGCCACCTCTTCTTCCATCATCTACCCATTGGTTAGATCCGGTTGAATTGTGTCTTTCAGGACCTCTGCCCCGCTGTGGACCATGGTTCTCCAAAGCTTGTCTGGCAATTACATTCTCCCTTTGAAAGCGAGGTGGTCTGTCGTGTTTTTGTGGCCGATCATTATTCCAAGGGGCATTCTTCTGCTGAAAGCCCTTCACAGCAATACTTTTGTCAGTGCTCGAGTGATGTGGAAGCTGCGTTTTTGACTCTAAGAAAACAAATGCAAAAAATAAAATAAGACTCAGTTTTGTTTCACTTCCAATCATTTTTGTACTGTATAAACAAACAAGGTGGAGAATATATCTCAGAGATGATGCACATTTTCAGGAATCTCACACTAACTCTTCCCAAAGTACATAGAATGTTAAACATCCGACTTTATTATGCTACACGAGATTTCACATTTTAACGTAGCAAAGACGAAAGTGTAGTCTAGCTAATTTAAGAAGTCATCCACAAGTTAAACTTCACTGAATGTATTCAGCATCACATATAGATACGGTGGTTAAGAAGGCATTTAGCACACTTGCCATCATTGCTCAGACCTTTGAGTATACACATTGGTATGTTATGATGTTCAGGTTGTACAGGACATTGTTAAGGCCTCTTCTGGAGTAGAATGTCCAGTTCTCGTCACCCTATTATAGGAAGGATATTAGCTGCAGAGTTCAGAAGAGATTAACCAGGATGTTGCCAGGAATGGAGGGTTTGAGTTATATGGAGAGGCTGGAACTTTTTTCACTGGTGCATAGGAGGTTGAGGAGTCTCCTTAGAAGTTTATGAAATTATGAGGGGTACAGGTAAGGTCAATGACAGGTGTCTTTTCCCTAAGGTGGGAGATTTCAAGACTAGGGGACATATTTTTAAGAAGAGAGGAGAAAGATTTAAAGACACACGAGGGGCAAGTTTATTTTTAAAACAGAGTGGTTCGTGTGTGGAATGAATTTCCAGAGGAACTGTAGGATGCACGTGCAGTTATAACAGTTAAAAGTCATTTAGATAAGGCCATGAATAAGAAATGTTTGGAAGGATATGGGCCAATTGTAGGGAGGTGGGACTAGTTTAGTTTGGGATTATGGTTGGCATGGACTGGTCGGACCAAAGTGTCAGTTTCTGTGCCATATGACTCTCATTCTACCAAGTTACACATTCTTCACCTTCAGACAAAGGTGAGTGCCTTCCATTGGCCTCGAGACCTTGCACTGGAAGTTACTTCCTAATGCATCAGATTCTCTCCTTTCTAAAACCCTTCTCAAAACCTACATCTCTATTCATACTCCTAAAATGTTCTTCTACAGCTCATCAGCCATTATTGTTTGATTATATCTTTGCAAACCTTGCTGGGACATTTTTCTAGAGGGTGCTAATAACTGCAAAATTACTTTAGTTAATGGGCATTATTTTCATGTTTGGTACACCAGCTGAAGCCAAGTTTATCAACTGTCAAGATCTTGCATCAACGCATGTCTGAACGCCATGGAGTAAAAGGGACAGCATGGATATAAAGTTGTCGAAGTGACAGGAAACAGAGTGGTAGCATGTGGTTTTTGTTTTGAATTTAGAAATGATATACAGTGGGTTTTCCAAGAGTCAGTACTGGGACCACTGCTTTGCACATTGTAAATGACTTAGTCTGTTGTATAGTGCCCAAATTCAAAATTTGGAAACATAATTTGGGAGCACAGTGAACAGAGGAGAATATGCACAAGCCGCTGGAATGGGAAGACATGGCAGAAGGAATTAAACACACAAAAGTGCAAAGTGATGCATTTTTGCAGAAAGAATGAGAAGAGGCTGTTTAAAATAAATTCTAAAGAAGATCCAAGAACAGAAGTTCCTGGAGATACATGTGACACAAGTGGAGGCAAGAAAATCAAGGTGAACCTTTATAAAGCAGTCTGAACTCGAGTACAATGTTGACTGTTGAGCAGTGAATTTCAAGCAGGTTGTGAAGTAATTGGAAAGGATGCAAGAAAGATTTATTAGAATGATTTCAGGAATAAGAAACTTCAGTTACATGGAGAGACTAAAGAAGTTAGGGTTGATCTTCTTGAAGAAAAGGGGGTTTGATGGCGATATTCAAGATCATGAGGGGTCTGAACTGAATAGATGGGGACAAACTATTCTGATTGTTATGTATAGATAATAAAGACTTTTTAACCTCAGTTCATCCACTTCAATAAACAGGTCACTGTTCCGCCACAACAGCAATCTGATGATGATTTCTGAAATTATCCTAATACTCCAACTCAGAAGACCAGCAAATCTGTCAAATGCTGGATAAATAATTTCATGACATCAGCTTGAAGTCAGGTCCACTCATCCTCCTTTTGCATCTGAAGTCTTTGAGCAAACTCGTTTGTCCATAACACGAGTGATCATATATGCCTCAACAATATCATCCCTGTTGTCTTCTTTCAGTTTTCTTTACACTAGAGTTCAAACACTAACATCAGTCTTCTGGTTCTTCTGTAAATGAACTACTTCCAAAGTTGCACTAACTCCCTGTATATCGGGAAATAGAACTGGGCACTATATTCGAGGTAGGTCTATTATTTGCAGCATTTATTTAAGAATCTAAGAAACTTCACAGGAGAAATTACCAATGAATTTAAAATGAAAAATCACTGAAAATCTTCCACCATAATATTCTTAATATTAAACTATACACTACTAAAAATATTTTAAGGACAAATGCACATTCGTATCATGACATTTTTATATTACAAATGTACAACTTTTTGAAAACAAGTCATAGAATCCCTACAACATGGAAGCAGGCCATTTGGCCCATCAAGTCCACTCCGAACCTCCAAACAGCATCATACCCAGACCCACCCTCACCCCCTACCCTATTCCTGTAACCCTGCATTCCCCATGGTTAATCAAACTAACCTACACATCCCTGGACACTGAGTAATTTAGCATGGCCAATCCACCTAATGTGTACATTTCTGGATGGTGGAAGGAAACCCACTGAGGCACAGTGTGAAAGTGAAAGTGAAAGTGAAAGTGAGAGAGCAAGAGTGCATACGCATGCGTGTGGGTGAGTGTGTGCGCGTGAGAGAATGTATAGTGTGGTGGGGTCACCTGTACTGCAACATGAACCCAAGATCCCAGTCAGACCATCCTCATAGGTACCAAACTTGGCCTCAGCTGGGATCTTGGGTCCATGTTGCACTGCAGAAGACCCCACCACACTATACATTCTCGTGCGTGCGCACACGTTCTCTCTCTCACACACACGCATCTATGGGGCGCAGATACATTCTATTTTGTTCAAAAAGCACACAATTTATAGACAGTGAATGTGGCATTTTATAAATTCCTACTTTAGAAGCAAAACCAGTCTGACTCCAAACCAAAACAAACAGATTCTAAACAAAGCCTCACACCTAACACTGATAAAACCTTTAGTTCTCTCAGGACAGCAACTTGAAAGAATTTGGGGATTTACATATACGTATTAATCAATTAAAACCTTCCAACTGATTAAAGAGTTAACAGCATCTTAGGTTTGTTTAATACATCCTGCTACGTGCTGTCACTCTTTGATATTGTACTTACAAATTCTGTGTCTGATACTACCTCTCACTAACACCTGGAGGAGGGAGGCTCCAAAAGCTGGTGTTTTCAAATAAATCTGTTGGACTATAACCTGGTGTCATGTGATTTCTAAACTCAGTTAAGTGAATAAGATTGAAAAAACTGGGGTCATAACTTTGGAGAAAAGGCGGCTGATTGGAAGTTTGATACAGATGTCCAAAATCATGAGTTAAGACAGAATTGAGAGAAACTGACCCCTTGGCAGAAGGATCAACAACTAGAAAGTGCAGTCTGACAAAAAATTGAAAAATCAGTATGGGGTTAAATGGGTACAATCTGCAATGTACTGTGTGAAAAGGTAAAGATAGATATAGTTGAGTCAGATGAACTAAATTGCTTTGAGAGAGATCTGGCACAGATAACAGCAGCCAAATAGCTTCTTTTTGTGATGTAACTATTTTATAGTACCACGCATACCTTGGACCAACAATTTGGACACAGGAATCCCTGGCAAAACTGCATCAATACAAAGACCTCTTTGTACACAACACGACTAGAAATTTTAAAATCATAACCTTAATAGTTGAGCATCAAAGACAGAAACATAAGCACATACAAGTTAGGGATAGCAAGAGTGGGCCAATGATTCTGTTCTGCTGTTAAATCAGATTATGGCTGATCCAATTCTGGATCCTACTTTGCTGCTTATCGTTTCTACCTTTCAAAGTCCTATTTAGTTTAGTTTATGGGGAGGAAGTGATGCAGTAGTAATGTCACTGAACTAGTAATCCAGAGCACCAAGCTAGTGTTTGGAATTTGAAATTTAAAAAACTCTGCAATCAAAGGCTCGCTTAGGAGTGATCATAACCACTTTAGATTATCTTCGGGAGGGTTTAAACTAATTCAACAGGGGGGTGGGAACCTGAATTGTAGCTCCAGTGTACAGGAGGTTGAGAGTAGTGAGGCCATAAATAAGGTTTCAAGGTCACAGGAGTGTCCCGGCAGGCAGGAAGGTGGTTTGAAGTGTGTCTACTTCAATGCCAGGAGCATCCGGAATAAGGTGGGTGAACTTGCAGCATGGGTTGGTACCTGGGACTTCGATGTTGTGGCCATTTCGGAGACATGGATAGAGCAGGGACAGGAACGGTTGTTGCAGGTTCCGGGGTTTAGATGTTTCAGTAAGATCAGGGAAGGTGGTAAAAGAGGCGGAGGTGTGGCAATGTTAGTCAAGGACAGTATTACGGTGGCAGAAAGGACATTTGATGACAACTTGTCTACTGAGGTAGTATGGGCTGAGGTTAGAACCAGGAAAGGAGAGGTCACCCTGTTGGGAGTTTTCTATAGGCCTCCGAAAAGTTCCAGAGATGTAGAGGAAAAGATTGCAAAGATGATTCTGGATAGGAGCGAAAGTAACAGGGTAGTTGTTATGGGGGACTTTAACTTTCTAAATATTGAATGGAAACACTATAGTTCGAGTACTTCAGATGGATCAGTTTTTGTCCAATGTGTGCAGGAGGGTTTCCTGACACAGCATGTAGATAGGCCAACAAGAGGCGAGGCCACATTGGATTTGGTACTGGGTAATGAACCAGGCCAGGTATTAGATTTGGAGGTAGGTGAGCACTTTGGTGATAGTGACCACAATTCGGTTACGTTTACTTT